CAATGGTATAATACGGTTGCATGACAGATTCATGTTTCAGACTTCAATTCTATTCTGAAATAACGAAATGCCAAATCCATATCACAAAAAACCAATATTTTGTTATTTAAGTTAAAATAAACAAGGAAATCTCCCATAAACTATATTGATGATCATTAACGACAAACATTGTAAAGGTCTTCTAAATGACCTTTAACCAATGAGCTACGGAATAAAAAAAAAGATTTTAACTACTCCTACAAGAATAATAAGATACGTTCGTTTGACTTCCAAGTACTTCTAAATCGAAGTAATTCAAATGTCAACAAGCTGTTTTAAGTGGAGATTAAGCGAAGCACTTCATCGTAGGCGATGATGTCAGTGAGCAGCAGAAAAATTTTCTGACTCAGTAAATTCAACTGCTAACATTCAGCCATTAAGTTGGTTTCATAACACACCAACTGAATTAGGCTTATTCATTACGAAATCCATTGGGACGATTTGATCCTTGACAATCTGATTCAATGGTGGTTAGTCACTTGACGTTAGTAATAAACACCGACACCTCCAAAGTCATGTTCCACCCAAGCTTCTTCCACAGATATCAGAAATATCATCCTGATTAACTGGAAATGTCAAATTAAGTCCATAATCTATAAAGTTAGTGAAGTGAAATATGAAATACGTTAAGAATATCTGATTTAATTAGGACGTCAGTCTATTTCTGGCTTCCCGAGGAGAATATGGGGAGAATGATTTCTCTAGATCTTCAAGATGCGATATCTACTATCTGACAGCCAAAGGCGAGGCTCAAGTCTCTAAATAGGTACGTGGTTGTATATCGGCTATTAATTTGTTCCGTTTAGTCTTCCTCCCTAGAGCATAGACATTTATGGTCATTACCATCATTCATACGCACTTTTGACACAATGATCATATTTTAACGATAACAAACCAACTGAGACTTAAATAATACCTAATCCGGAAGTACATTTCAAATACTGAATAAAATCCAAATCAGGAAGTACTATTGAGCCTAAATTATTCTGCATAAAATTATTTCTTGATAGATAATATAATAGCTCCTACATAACAAGAAAGATATTAATTACCTTTAGTACTCAATGTATAAATCTATTTTCCTATATATGTTTAATTCATACCACTCTTTCCATGCAAGTTAACTAAAACAATCTTGTCCATTTCTTTCAATTGATTCTGGCTAAAATTGTAAGAATAAGCTTTGAGCTCCCTAACTCCATTTCGTTCAATTCATTCCGGGTTAAGTTGTATTTTAACGCACAATACTTTAAGCTCTCTGTCTCCATTTTCTTTCCATTCATCCTGCAAGATAGTTTTAGCTCTCTTGTTTCCATTTCTTTCAATTCGCCCTGGGTTAAAATTAAAGATCAAGTTACTTTAAGCTCCCTTGCCCCATTTTAAACAATTCATAAGATCAATGCATGCTACTTTAAGCTTTCTTACTCCCATTTCGTTCTTGTCATCCTGGGTAAATTGTAAGATCAACACGTTACTTTAAGCTCTGTCGCCCCGATTCATCTTTGGTTAAATTGTAGGATCAAAGCAAGTTATTTTGAGCTCTCAATTTCGTTCAATTCATCCTTGGTTAAATTGCAACATCAACACAAATTACTTTAAGCTCTCTTGTTTCATTTCGTTCAATTCATAACATGAATGCATGTTACTTTAAGCTCTCTTGATCCACCTCGTTCAATTCATAAGATCAACGCAAGTTACCTTAAGCTCTCTTGCTGTATTTCGTTCAATTCATAAGATCATCGCAAGTTACTTTAAGCTCTCTTGCACCATTTTGTTCAATTCATAGATCAATACCAGTTACTTTAAGCTCTTTTACTCCCTTTCGTTCAATTCATCTTGGGTTAAAGTGTTCCTCATCACTCAGGAAATGACGAATAGTAAAAATATTGACACAGTAAAACGGTATATTAAAATGATCGATGAGAATTTTGACTAGAATATTATTTAATGATGATAGAACTTGATAAAAAGAAATTGAGTATGCAGTGAATCGAAATAATCCTGTTACTACGCCGATTGACAAGTGTACTTTCTACTGCACCAAACCAACCATGATGATATGTGTTTGTTTTCAAAGGAAGCATTGGAGTAAGAAATGATGCTTGGTTTCTTGAATAAAGTAGACAATATTGATTCTTGGTAAAGAAACTTAGTAAATTGGTCCGTCAAATCAACAACAGTACTGGAAGGTTGTATTCAATCAAAATTACTGCCTAAATATAGACACATTTTAAAAAAGCATATCGTATGAAAATTTATTGAGGTCGTGAACTTATAAAGGAATGTTTGTTGGTTTATTTTCATTGTACGTTTCCATGAAAGAAATAAAATGGATATTGACGTCCTACCCGTCTAAATCATATCCAGTTATCGTACTGGAACAAAGCCAACCGCAAAATAACCACTTTCAAATTCGTTATGAAGCAGCTGTTTAGTCCACGTCCTGTAAATTTGGTATCGATAACTCCGTTACCTGCACGGTTCCGGATGATCAAGACCCCTATAAAGATTTTCCGGGTTGGTATTTAAGTGCTCCAGACTGTGAATCTGGATTTTAAGGGCATTTACATTTACAGTTGGAAGCACACGTAACTTCTGCTTTTTACCCCACCAAACCACTGAAAGCCTTAGCACAAAGAAAACAAATGACTCACATTTTCATTCAACATAACAGAACCATCCTTAATCATATTTACTTAAAATAATTTAAATAAGACTAATGAAGATTTTTTCTAGACATTAACATTTGAAGATAACATCATGATCATTATTTGAATGAGATAAGGAGATATCATGATTACGGTAAAAATAACAAAACAGAATCAGCGTTGGCGTGAATATCAACATTAATGTATTTCTTTCGAACTGTTTACCCATTCCAATTGAGCTTATTAAACTTGAATATCCAAAATAAAAACCCAATTGTTGCACTAATCCTGCCCACGGCATTTTGTATTTCAACATTTTGGTTTGCCTTTAGTGAAATTGAATTAAAATCTAAACGAGATTACTAGAATATATCACCTAAAAGGATAAAATTTGAAGGTTAAATAAAATGATAGGTAAAACAAGATCATCTCGTAAATTGCTATGGGAAAACCACACAGAAGAATGAAAATCTAATTTCAACTGTAACAAAATGTAGATTGAATCATTAAATTTTAAACTATCGATTAACTATCTGAACTGCCACTACTCGACCTCTGACAATAAACCATTGTAAGTGTCTTTAATAATGCTTCGGTTTCTTTATAATAGGAGGGTAGAGATTTATTCCAACATGGGATGCTAAAGATACAATTGCAAGATCAGCAAGTGAAAATGTGACTATCCATATCCAATTGTATAAGATAACCCTGGTAACAGATGTGCAACAGTCTATGGACCTTTAAAATCCTTAAACAGAAGGACATCAAAAAGTAGCATGCTTAAAGGGACAGAGGCAGCATTATTTGTGACCAATCATAATTAATCTCAGAAACGGGATTTCTTTCGCTAAGCCAATCAGACAGGTCACCGTCGAAATTTGGGCCTTCAAATCCATGTGTGTCCAGAATTATCCGCGGTTGAATGTTAAAATGACATTTTAGGATACTCTGTGATATATAGAAAAGACAGATATAGAAATAGTGAGTAAAATTCCTAGTTCGAGATATTGTTGGAGACATTATGCGATTTTCGTACATTTCTAGCATTCCTGAAGACTATTTACATATATTAAGGACTCAAATCAACCCCCGAAATGGCCCTTTAATGGTATAGTCCTTAGAAAATATGTAACAGAAACGAATGAAGTTAAACTTAATTTCATTCCATATAGCACCCTCCAAAAATGGTAATTAAAAACGTCCACTGACGTCTGTAAGACATGCTGGCCTCGTTGCTCTACAACAATCGTCAAACCCGGAATTGAACACCAGAAAAAACTCAAAACCACGACACTGTCATCCTTTTCATTAAAATAAGTACATTTAAGTCTATATTAAGGCTATCCATTGCAATTGTGGGAATCGTGAAGAGACAGATACGATACAGTATTCCTACTTAGAGGAAATCTGTGAAGTCAAGAGCACGTTCTCATTAGAACGCAGATGTTCATTATAAAGAATGTTCGACATAATATAGATTTATGGATAGTGTTTCATTACGCATCTGGCATATCGCAATCGAGAAATATAATAGCTATTTTTGGACCAAATCAATACTTGAATCAAGTAAAAAACGATTTAAGAGTTAAAATTTCAGGTGCTGATATTGATAGTCCACCACATGTGCATTTTGTGGGAGTGAAACTGAAAGAAAAGCATGTTCCTATTTTAGAATTTAAGGCGGATCTTTTCTTTCAGAATGTCAAAGGACATGAAAATGTTCTTGGTCCAGGTGTTCTTATAGAGGTTGTTGAACGAAGTGAGAAATAGAGGTTACATGACATTCCACACGTTTATTCATAAATGCGACGTGGCAAGTTAATGTACACAAATGGGTGATTAATCTCAAATAGAATCTTGAGTCCTGGAACAATGAGCCCATGTCCATGTTTTTCATTCACATGACATGTGAACTAGCTAAGGATAACTTGCTCATCCACTTCATATCAGATATGATCCTCTATTTATTTCCGCTGTAAGCTAAATAGTGGTACAGTCGATTTCAGCTGAACCGTAGCTCAAATGTTCTTCTACATTGAACATCGATATGGTTAGCCGAAATTGAGCTCAACTAAACAACCAATATTTACACTATATTCATTCCAGAATAGAGGCACTGTACAGCAGCAATCAATGTTTTGCTTGATCATTATCCATTCTTACTCTTTTCGTAGCACATGGTACCTCTGTTTAGAGAAATCAACTATTATACATCTACAACTTTAACTCCCGAATTTGTCAATCTTTGGACGAAATTTTTGATGGACGGAATTGTCTTGGTCGTACAACATAAAGAAACATATATATCCTTACCTTTTCTACAGATATAATCCCCAGGTGAAAATAAAACAGGTCGTAAACGTAACACTAATTCACATAGAAATCCTGCTTCAGTCTGTTGGAATATCTCCACACGTTTTAAGGTATCTAAATGCACATGGATAGCTATTTCGGCTTTGAGCTTATCCGGTAACAATGAGAGTGCTCTGTCTTCATCACTAGACTTATTACACATCCATAAATAATCGAACCATTTTATAACGCGATCTTGAAGCTTTAATGGAACTCGACGTAAATTCATATACGTTTTTACACCATCTAGTTTGGCTGAAAAGAGAAAAGAGAAGCTGTTTAGTTATTGCATGTAAAGTTTAAGTCAATGAGTTGTAGGTAGGATTGTTCATTGTTCATGTATAATATTCGATGTAAATGTAATTTGGCCAAAAAAAGAAAAATGTCCAATGTCTAAAAGCGAACATTTAACAGACCAAAACAGAACTGTTAAAGGCATGCTGCAACTATGATTGGTGAATAATGTATGCATTTGCTGTATATGTAATTGAGAATGTCTTTGATGATACAGTCATCGATTTAGATTGATTAAGTTTGAATGTTTTGGGTGTAAAAGCCGCACTTTCAAAGTTCTGAAGTTTGCTTTGTAGACGTGAGTTGGGGGAATATTGAAATTTTTAGGCAATCGTCCTTTATATTTTAAGGAAGGCGGAAACTGTGGAGGAATTTTATCATAATGAGATACCTTGTTATTTTTTATTGATTTTCTTTAGCTTGTTAGTTAAAATTTCAACGTCAAAAACTTGCCTTTACTTTCCTTATTCCGACATAAAATCGTGGCCAAAATTGAGTAGGTTTTATTTTCATGTGAAATAAATTGGCGATATTTAAATTTCGTTAGAAAAAAAATTGTCTAAAAATAAAAGTCCTATTAATTGGAATGTAAAAAATGAATGAAAAATGAAGTTCAATCACAAAATCAATTAAAGCTCGTCTAACCAACTGATTTACAATTGTTAAAGGGATAGTTGCGCCATATTGAGGGTTGAGACTAACGTATGATTGATAAAAAAAATGGCGATCCTGTAAAAATCTTTATAAACCTTTAAATCTATTAAGACTTCCTGTAAAGGTCTTTTAATGATGAGTACGTGCATGAGATGAGCTCGTGTATAGAATAACATAATCTGGGAAATAACTGTTTTCAATTTTGGTTTCGAAAACTATCCTTAGATGCAGCCATAGAGTAATACAGATGGAGCAAATAGGGAAAAGTCATGCACGAAAGAAAGACATAATGCTTTCCTTAAATATAAGATTCGGAAATATACTCTCTTTTGTCGTAATTGATCAAAAGACCAAAATAAATACTGATTTTATGAAGAAAGTACAAGCTAATAAAATGAAAGCCATTTGAAACTGTACCCTGTCCGAGAAGAACATTTTGTCAAGATAAATGAAAGTTTATTGGCCTAATCAATGGCGTTTCCCTATTCTGTCTGCATTCTGATTTATCATAACGCCAAGAAATACAATAATTGTTTGATCGCACGAAGGTAATAAAATTATCTTAGTGAATTCAGGCGACTGACTCTATCTTGATGGATATAAATAGCAATGCTGGCGTTTTGGATAAGGACAGAAGAGCATTTCTTTTTAGACCGGTGTAATTACAAAATCAATTGGTCGTATGTACACTTAACAGGTAAAAACCTAAAAAGTTGGCATCGTCTATATATCGGACTGGCCCTACAGCTATACCAGAATACCATAAACGGCTGCTTCACAGGCATTGAGTGCACTTCGCCCTAATTCCAGTGGATGTGCAACGGGCACAACAAATAACTCAAAGAAAGTATCCACTAAGCACCAGCAAATCAACCATGCAGGTACGGTACGGCACAGTACTATACGGAACTCAACCGGTTTTTCAACTGAAATAGACGACAGGTAGCCCAGTCTATGTCACCAGTTTTCCATCGAGGTCCAAACCCAGATTGACATGATGGTAATAGTGCAAAATACAGATCTGGCAAACGATGAACTCTTTCAGTGTTATCGTTTTAAAAGCAGCATTCAATTAGATCTTCCTTCTTTGGAACATCGGGTTAACACAGTTAGTCTATTGGAACTAATAAATTCTATTTATAGTAACCAGATGTTATTAAGACAAATCTGTCAATGGGATGAAAGAAGTTTAATGTTTTAGTCACTAAGAATCCACATTCAGCGATTTGTGTTACTGTAAATAGATATTTGATCAATATCCTCTTTTTATATGACTATTAACTTCAGACTTCTTGTATTAAATAAACCGGAAATTAGACAACATTATTCCAGTAATTTCATCCAAGTTGGAGATATCATAAACCATCCGGGTTTGTCGTATGTTGCTGTATATGGAATGTTATTTCATGTTGTAGATCTGTACGCATGAATTCGGAAAGAAAGTTTAGATTTGGCAATAGAATAAATATATTATTACGGATCTTCAGTCGATACAGAACTTTATTGTTGCTTAGAAGGCAATATTGCCCCATTTTCACATTTCCAAAAGCTTTTAGCACTCTTTCTATGGATAACATTATTGTTAATGGAGCTTAGTGAATACCAATGAAAAAAAAGCAATGATATGAACTGACATATGCTTACTGGTCTAGACACCTAATACCACTTAACATTCTGACTAAAATACCTTGTGCCCGTATTACTGTGACCAAAATACCCTGTGCCCGTATTACTGTGACCAAAATACCTTGTGCCGTATTACTGTGACCAAAATACCTTGTGCCCGTATTACTGCGACTAAAATACCTTGTCCCGTATTACTGTGACCAAAATACCTTGTCCCGTATTACTGTGACCAAAATACCTTGTCCCTGTATTACTGTGACCAAAATACCTTGTGCCCGTATTACTGTGACCAAAATACCCTGTGCCCGTATTACTGTGACTAAAATACCTTGTCCCGTATTACTGCGACTAAAATACCTTGTCCCGTATTACTGTGACTATATTACCTTGTGCCCGTATTACTATAACCATTACCATAATACCTTGTGCCCGTATTACTGTGACCAAAATATCTTTTGCCCGTATTATTAATGTGGCCAAAATATCTTGTGCTCGTATTATTAGTGTGGCCAAAATATCTTGTGACTAAATTTCCTGTGACCAAGTTACCGTGCACCCAATTTTGTACGATTCACTTTCATAGCTTCAGAAGATGATAAATGATTTGGAAAATTGGAAATATTTATTAATTTTATCCGAGACTTAATTCTGACTTCCCTGGAGCGATGTCATTGAAAAGATATAGAGTAAAAAGAAAGAATAATCATCTTAATGTAGGCCATTTCGTAGACTGTTAGATTTTTAATCACAGCACAACTAGATCACAATGAAGCTTTTTTTTGAAATGTTACCGCTAAGTTTAATACAAATGATAAACGTTTATGACAAATACCATTGACGTCTTGATGTGTCTGTCAGACCCATTTCTTGCGATGACATGAATTTAATTTTTTTTTGGGGAAAACAAAAGCAATTACAAACTGTCAATATTTTTAGAGGAAACGCGGCTCTTTTGTCTACTCAATAGATATGCTCGAGATATTTCCGAGATTACTAAGTCAAATGTGAGTACTTGAAGAGTTATTATGGATCCTTATGGTATCTACATGACCGTACGCCAACAAGGGCTTTTATTTTTTGAATTTCCTCTGTTTTTGATTCTATTACAGGGCTATGGTAAAAACAATTCTCGTAAGGTATAGCTCATGTTTTCGACTGTCACATGATATCTCCTCTGACAGAGGTGCATATTGCTGAAGTTTGTCAGTCGAATAGACTTCAATATGCCAGTGATGTAATTTGAGGTTAGGTCGCATGGTATAGCCTATGTCTCTGATGCTAATTGCGTGGACTGTCGCAAGGTATAATCTTATAGCGTGCATTGCCAAATGAAATCTCATCTGCCAGAGATGCAATTTGAGGGTTTCTAGTATGGTATCTTTTCTGTGTGGTATCTTGGTATATAATGTTCTTGATAACCTTCCATTCGGAGTTGACCACAAAGTGTATTCAGATAGAAAATAAGATTTCATATGCGTAATGAATCTTTCCATTATAATGACTATACTGACATAACAGTAGAAAACAACTTTAATCCCTTATGATAACTAATAACCTTCATTTTCATTCTAAAATGTCAATTTTCTGAGGTAATGGAGCGGCAAATACGTTGTTATGGAAACTGATTTGGAATTAAACATATTATTTTAGCGATTACCTCAACAAATTGTGACTTTGTTTCAGTGGTTTTCATTACCATGGTAATCAAACTAGCTTCAAAGAGAAACTGATTTTGATACAAATAATTCGCTCGATTGATGGGTTCTGCAGGTTCAGGATTCATGGAATCAACCGGACGTTCATTAAAAGTTGAAAAGGGTACAGAACGCGTTCTACGTGTGCCGATAAAGTGTAGACAGAATTCAAATTGGCGGAAGAATAGAAGGGAACAGTGCGACCTATCGGGTACCTTTAACTTGAAGCCAAAAATGGAACAGACGGACACTTGTGATTTGCTCGTAATCCTCTCACCATCCACCTTTCACATGCAATATTTTCAAACAAAGAATATGCAATTCTTTAAACTTTCTTGCGAGGAACAAAATCTTAATTAGGTAAATATAGGAAAATATACCAATGTGAAATTATTTACTTTCATGGGCAACAAATTGCTAAGCTATTGGGCTTCAAGCATCATAACGCCAAATTTAATCTTGCATTTCACCAATATGATCGTCGGACTACGTCACATTAACTAAGAAGAATGGTGAGAAAATTATTCACATTTTAAAACAATTCTGTTTGATTCGTCAAATTTCAGTGGTTTTTGTGAACTAGTTTTATAATTGTTACAACAGAATTCGATCAATAAAAGAGTACTTGCTTCAGAATGCTGTTAATAGTAAAAATACTAAGTTGCTTGTCAAATTAATGACAAATTGTATTTTTATTTGAAATCTTTGATATCTCTCAACTGACACGTTCAAGAGCATTGCGAAACATATGAAATAAACGAAATTCGAATTGCAATCTGAAAATTTAACACAAACGCAATCGCAATCTGAAAATTAAAAAGAAAAACAAATTGCAATCTGAACAATAAAAAAAAAACTTGCAATGTGAAAAACAAAACGAAATTATTCTTATAATGAAGGATTGAAATGCATTAAACCTTGGTTCTGACTAAAAAGTTACTAAATATTTCCTTTTGGTGGCGATTTGTACATGAAATAAGGCCATCACAATTAA